TCTTGCGGAAACATTGAACCGTAGTTTATTCAATGAAAATCTACTCAACAATAAAATCAACTTGTAGAATGTATTGGTGAGCAAGGGACATTTTAACAATAGATGCCTTGTCCATTTCTGAACATCTGACAAAATCTGTGTTCGCGCTAACTGTGAATGAAAGTCCACATATTTCTTGGTCCAGGCTTTCTGCTGTGAAGTTCAGCCTCTGGAGCCAGGTGCATCCAATGGCCATTGGTTAAAATGCCTCAAGATTCAAAACGAGTATAGAACTTTTTGGTAAGGACGCTGTTAAATGATTGTTCGGCATAGTCATCGCCTTTGAATGACATGAATAGTGTTTGCATTTTCATTGAATTGACATTTAAAAAATGAGGTGTTCCAAACCTGTTCAATGTGCTCAGAACCTGTTCAATGTGCTCAGAAACTTTTCAATGTAATGCTGAGGGACACAAAAACATTTGACGTTAAGTCATTCTGAGTCCAACATTTCAAGGGAATGTTAATGCATCTGTGTTGATTTGAACGAACAGTAATCTATTAGATGGAAAAACATGGACAAATCCCTGTCCTTAAAAGAGTCTAAGTCATTTTGGGAAAACCCACTGTTGATTGAAAGGGGGCATGGATTTTGCTGGTCGTTTTCTTGCGGAAACATTGAACCGTAGTTTATTCAATGAAAATCTACTCAACAATAAAATCAACTTGTAGAATGTATTGGTGAGCAAGGGACATTTTAACAATAGATGCCTTGTCCATTTCTGAACATCTGCCAAAATCTGTGTTCGCGCTAACTGTGAATGAAAGTCCACATATTTCTTGGTCCAGGCTTTCTGCTGTGAAGTTCAGCCTCTGGAGCCAGGTGCATCCAATGGCCATTGGTTAAAATGCCTCAAGATTCAAAACGAGTATAGAACTTTTTGGTAAGGACGCTGTTAAATGATTGTTCGGCATAGTCATCGCCTTTGAATGACATGAATAGTGTTTGCATTTTCATTGAATTGACATTTAAAAAATGAGGTGTTCCAAACCTGTTCAATGTGCTCAGAACCTGTTCAATGTGCTCAGAAACTTTTCAATGTAATGCTGAGGGACACAAAAACATTTGACGTTAAGTCATTCTGAGCGGGAATGTTAATGCATCTGTGTTGATTTGATTTCGGTTACGGAGGGACGGACCTATCCAGCCATAAACGGAAACTATAATGTGTAGATGATGTTGACCGTTTTTGATATAATGAATTGTTTATTTTACATGTAAAGAGATTTTTAATTATCTGTGCATCTATGTTGATTTGTTCAATGTGCTCAGAACCTGTTCAATGTGCTCAGAAACTTTTCAATGTAATGCTGAGGGACACAAAAATATTTGACGTTAAGTCATTCTGAGCAGGAATGTTAATGCATCAGTGTTGATTTGAACGAAGCTATTAGATGGAAAAACACTGATGGCCAGTACGGGCATCGAACCCGCGACCTTCGCGTTATTAGCACGACGCTCTGACCAACTGAGCTAACCGGCCAGACCTGATGAAAGAATTCGAAATGACTGGCCGTAGTGACAGTTAGCACTTGTTTGAGATAAGTAAAAAGAGTTTCTAAGATGTATCTGCTTGCCAAGGAATAAAACCAACCAGTCCTGGACTTCGAATGCGAACAGTTAGAAGGTCCTACCGAGATTTGAACTCGGATCGCAGGATTCAGAGTCCTGAGTGCTAACCATTACACCATAGAACCTGTTTCTTAGGAGCTGTACATGATGACACAAGACTGGAGTCCAACATTTCAAGAATGCAACAAACAACATGCGAAGATGTACATATTAGTATGTTCTTCGTTCAGCTAATTCACCTTAAAAATGTGGTAAGCTAGTACAGTAATCATGATGCAACCATTGCGTTTTTTGAAATACTGTCTAACCAACTGATCTAACTTTCCAAACTGGACAAATCCCTGTCCTTAAAAGAGTCTAAGTCATTTTGGGAAAACCCACTGTTGATTGAAAGGGGGCATGGATTTTGCTGGTCGTTTTCTTGCGGAAACATTGAACCGTAGTTTATTCAATGAAAATCTACTCAACAATAAAATCAACTTGTAGAATGTATTGGTGAGCAAGGGACATTTTAACAATAGATGCCTTGTCCATTTCTGAACATCTGACAAAATCTGTGTTCGCGCTAACTGTGAATGAAAGTCCACATATTTCTTGGTCCAGGCTTTCTGCTGTGAAGTTCAGCCTCTGGAGCCAGGTGCATCCAATGGCCATTGGTTAAAATGCCTCAAGATTCAAAACGAGTATAGAACTTTTTGGTAAGGACGCTGTTAAATGATTGTTCGGCATAGTCATCGCCTTTGAATGACATGAATAGTGTTTGCATTTTCATTGAATTGACATTTAAAAAATGAGGTGTTCCAAACCTGTTCAATGTGCTCAGAACCTGTTCAATGTTTTCAATGCTAAACATTCTTTTGGACAAATCCCTGTCCTTAAAAGAGTCAATGTAATGCTGACAGAATCATTGAACCGTAGTTTATTCAATGAAAATCTACTCACAAAATCAAAAACATTTCTGAACATCTGACAAAATCTGTGTTCGCGCTAACTGTGAATGAAAGTTTGAGGCGTGTAAGTCAGTTCTGTGCGTAAGAACCTGTTCAATGTGCTCAGTTAATGCAAAAACATTTGACGTTTTTTGATTTGTCTAACCAAGCTATTAGATGGAAAAACATGGACAAATCCCTGTCCTTAAAAGAGTCTAAGTCATTTTGGGAAAACCCACTGTTGATTGAAAGGGGGCATGGATTTTGCTGGTCGTTTTCTTGCGGAAACATTGAACCGTAGTTTATTCAATGAAAATCTACTCAACAATAAAATCAACTTGTAGAATGTATTGGTGAGCAAGGGACATTTTAACAATAGATGCCTTGTCCATTTCTGAACATCTGCCAAAATCTGTGTTCGCGCTAACTGTGAATGAAAGTCCACATATTTCTTGGTCCAGGCTTTCTGCTGTGAAGTTCAGCCTCTGGAGCCAGGTGCATCCAATGGCCATTGGTTAAAATGCCTCAAGATTCAAAACGAGTATAGAACTTTTTGGTAAGGACGCTGTTAAATGATTGTTCGGCATAGTCATCGCCTTTGAATGACATGAATAGTGTTTGCATTTTCATTGAATTGACATTTAAAAAATGAGGTGTTCCAAACCTGTTCAATGTGCTCAGAACCTGTTCAATGTGCTCAGAAACTTTTCAATGTAATGCTGAGGGACACAAAAACATTTGACGTTAAGTCATTCTGAGCGGGAATGTTAATGCATCTGTGTTGATTTGATTTCGGTTACGGAGGGACGGACCTATCCAGCCATAAACGGAAACTATAATGTGTAGATGATGTTGACCGTTTTTGATATAATGAATTGTTTATTTTACATGTAAAGAGATTTTTAATTATCTGTGCATCTATGTTGATTTGTTCAATGTGCTCAGAACCTGTTCAATGTGCTCAGAAACTTTTCAATGTAATGCTGAGGGACACAAAAATATTTGACGTTAAGTCATTCTGAGCAGGAATGTTAATGCATCTGTGTTGATTTGAACGAAGCTATTAGATGGAAAAACACTGATGGCCAGTACGGGCATCGAACCCGCGACCTTCATTAACATATTAGCACGACGCTCTGACCAACTGAGCTAACCGGCCAGACGTGATGAAAGAATTCGAAATGACTGGCCGTAGTGACAGTTAGCACTTGTTTGAGATAAGTAAAAAGAGTTTCTAAGATGTATCAGCTTCTGCTTGCCAAGGAATAAAACCAACCAGTCCTGGACTTCGAATGCGAACAGTTAGAAGGTCCTACCGAGATTTGAACTCGGATCGCAGGATTCAAGTCCTGAGTGCTAACCATTACACCATAGAACCTGTTTCTTAGGAGCTGTACATGATGACACAAGACTGGAGTCCAACATTTCAAGAATGCAACAAACAACATGCGAAGATGTACATATTAGTATGTTCTTCGTTCAGCTAATTCACCTTAAAAATGTGGTAAGCTAGTACAGTAATCATGATGCAACCATTGCGTTTTTTGAAATACTGTCTAACCAACTGATCTAACTTTCCAAACTGGACAAATCCCTGTCCTTAAAAGAGTCTAAGTCATTTTGGGAAAACCCACTGTTGATTGAAAGGGGGCATGGATTTTGCTGGTCGTTTTCTTGCGGAAACATTGAACCGTAGTTTATTCAATGAAAATCTACTCAACAATAAAATCAACTTGTAGAATGTATTGGTGAGCAAGGGACATTTTAACAATAGATGCCTTGTCCATTTCTGAACATCTGCCAAAATCTGTGTTCGCGCTAACTGTGAATGAAAGTCCACATATTTCTTGGTCCAGGCTTTCTGCTGTGAAGTTCAGCCTCTGGAGCCAGGTGCATCCAATGGCCATTGGTTAAAATGCCTCAAGATTCAAAACGAGTATAGAACTTTTTGGTAAGGACGCTGTTAAATGATTGTTCGGCATAGTCATCGCCTTTGAATGACATGAATAGTGTTTGCATTTTCATTGAATTGACATTTAAAAAATGAGGTGTTCCAAACCTGTTCAATGTGCTCAGAACCTGTTCAATGTGCTCAGAAACTTTTCAATGTAATGCTGAGGGACACAAAAACATTTGACGTTAAGTCATTCTGAGCGGGAATGTTAATGCATCTGTGTTGATTTGATTTGAAGGGACGGACCTATCCAGCCATAAACGGAAACTATAATGTGTAGATGATGAAAAATGAATTGTTTATTTTACATGTAAAGAGATTTTTAATTATCTGTGCATCTATGTTGATTTGTTCAATGTGCTCAGAACCTGTTCAATGTGCTCAGAAACTTTTCAATGTAATGCTGAGGGACACAAAAATATTTGACGTTAAGTCATTCTGAGCAGGGGGCATGTTAATGCATCTGTGTTGATTTGAACGAAGCTATTAGATGGAAAAACACTGATGGCCAGTACGGGCATCGAACCCGCGACCTTTCTGCATCTGTTATTAGCACGACGCTCTGACCAACTGAGCTAACCGGCCAGACCTGACGAATGGAATTGAAATGACTGGCCGTAGTGACAGTTAGCACTTGTTTGAGATAAGTAAAAAGAGTTTCTAAGATGTATCTGCTTGCCAAGGAATAAAACCAACCAGTCCTGGACTTCGAATGCGAACAGTTAGAAGGTCCTACCGAGATTTGAACTCGGATCGCAGGATTCAGAGTCCTGAGTGCTAACCATTACACCATAGAACCTGTTTCTTAGGAGCTGTACATGATGACACAAGACTGGAGTCCAACATTTCAAGAATGCAACAAACAACATGCGAAGATGTACATATTAGTATGTTCTTCGTTCAGCTAATTCACCTTAAAAATGTGGTAAGCTAGTACAGTAATCATGATGCAACCATTGCGTTTTTTGAAATACTGTCTAACCAACTGATCTAACTTTCCAAACTGGACAAATCCCTGTCCTTAAAAGAGTCTAAGTCATTTTGGGAAAACCCACTGTTGATTGAAAGGGGGCATGGATTTTGCTGGTCGTTTTCTTGCGGAAACATTGAACCGTAGTTTATTCAATGAAAATCTACTCAACAATAAAATCAACTTGTAGAATGTATTGGTGAGCAAGGGACATTTTAACAATAGATGCCTTGTCCATTTCTGAACATCTGCCAAAATCTGTGTTCGCGCTAACTGTGAATGAAAGTCCACATATTTCTTGGTCCAGGCTTTCTGCTGTGAAGTTCAGCCTCTGGAGCCAGGTGCATCCAATGGCCATTGGTTAAAATGCCTCAAGATTCAAAACGAGTATAGAACTTTTTGGTAAGGACGCTGTTAAATGATTGTTCGGCATAGTCATCGCCTTTGAATGACATGAATAGTGTTTGCATTTTCATTGAATTGACATTTAAAAAATGAGGTGTTCCAAACCTGTTCAATGTGCTCAGAACCTGTTCAATGTGCTCAGAAACTTTTCAATGTAATGCTGAGGGACACAAAAACATTTGACGTTAAGTCATTCTGAGCGGGAATGTTAATGCATCTGTGTTGATTTGATTTTTGATATAATGAATTGTTTATTTTACATGTAAAGAGATTTTTAATTATCTGTGCATCTATGTTGATTTGTTCAATGTGTTTCAATGTGCTCACGGAGGGACGGACCTATCCAGCCATAAACGGAAACTATAATGTGTAGATGATGTTGACCGTTTTTGATATAATGAATTGTTTATTTTACATGTAAAGAGATTTTTAATTATCTGTGCATCTATGTTGATTTGTTCAATGTGCTCAGAACCTGTTCAATGTGCTCAGAAACTTTTCAATGTAATGCTGAGGGACACAAAAATATTTGACGTTAAGTCATTCTGAGCAGGAATGTTAATGCATCTGTGTTGATTTGAACGAAGCTATTAGATGGAAAAACACTGATGGCCAGTACGGGCATCGAACCCGCGACCTTCGCGTTATTAGCACGACGCTCTGACCAACTGAGCTAACCGGCCAGACCTGATGAAAGAATTCAAATGACTGGCCGTAGTGACAGTTAGCACTTGTTTGAGATAAGTAAAAGAGTTTCTAAGATGTATCAGCTTCTGCTTGCCAAGGAATAAAACCAACCAGTCCTGGACTTCGAATGCGAACAGTTAGAAGGTCCTACCGAGATTTGAACTCGGATCGCAGGATTCAAAGTCCTGAGTGCTAACCATTACACCATAGAACCTGTTTCTTAGAGCTGTACATGATGACACAAGACTGGAGTCCAACATTTCAAGAATGCAACAAACAACATGCGAAGATGTACATATTAGTATGTTCTTCGTTCAGCTAATTCACCTTAAAAATGTGGTAAGCTAGTACAGTAATCATGATGCAACCATTGCGTTTTTTGAAATACTGTCTAACCAACTGATCTAACTTTCCAAACTGGACAAATCCCTGTCCTTAAAAGAGTCTAAGTCATTTTGGGAAAACCCACTGTTGATTGAAAGGGGGCATGGATTTTGCTGGTCGTTTTCTTGCGGAAACATTGAACCGTAGTTTATTCAATGAAAATCTACTCAACAATAAAATCAACTTGTAGAATGTATTGGTGAGCAAGGGACATTTTAACAATAGATGCCTTGTCCATTTCTGAACATCTGCCAAAATCTGTGTTCGCGCTAACTGTGAATGAAAGTCCACATATTTCTTGGTCCAGGCTTTCTGCTGTGAAGTTCAGCCTCTGGAGCCAGGTGCATCCAATGGCCATTGGTTAAAATGCCTCAAGATTCAAAACGAGTATAGAACTTTTTGGTAAGGACGCTGTTAAATGATTGTTCGGCATAGTCATCGCCTTTGAATGACATGAATAGTGTTTGCATTTTCATTGAATTGACATTTAAAAAATGAGGTGTTCCAAACCTGTTCAATGTGCTCAGAACCTGTTCAATGTGCTCAGAAACTTTTCAATGTAATGCTGAGGGACACAAAAACATTTGACGTTAAGTCATTCTGAGCGGGAATGTTAATGCATCTGTGTTGATTTGAACGAAGCTATTAGATGGAAAAACACTGATGGCCAGCCATAAACCAACTGAAAAACATGGACAAATCCCTGTCCTTAAAAGAGTCTAAGTCATTTTGGGAAAACCCACTGTTGATTGAAAGGGGGCATGGATTTTGCTGGTCGTTTTCAAGAATTTGACCAACTGAAACATTGAACCGTAGTTTATTCAATGAAAATCTACTCAACAATAAAATCAACTTGTAGAATGTATTGGTGAGCAAGGGACATTTTAACAATAGATGCCTTGTCCATTTCTGAACATCTGACAAAATCTGTGTTCGCGCTAACTGTGAATGAAAGTCCACATATTTCTTGGTCCAGGCTTTCTGCTGTGAAGTTCAGCCTCTGGAGCCAGGTGCATCCAATGGCCATTGGTTAAAATGCCTCAAGATTCAAAACGAGTATAGAACTTTTTGGTAAGGACGCTGTTAAATGATTGTTCGGCATTCATCGTTTGAATGACATGAATAGTCATTTTGAATGACATGAATAGTGTTTGCATTTTCATTGAATTGACATTTAAAAAATGAGGTGTTCCAAACCTGATTTGTGTTCAATGTGCTCAGAACCTGTTCAATGTGCTCAGAAACTTTTCAATGTAATGCTGAGGGACACAAAAACATTTGACGTTAAGTCATTCTGAGCGGGAATGTTAATGCATCTGTGTTGATTTGAACGAAGCTATTAGATGGAAAAACACTGATGGCCAGTACGGGCATCGAACCCGCGACCTTCGCGTTATTAGCACGACGCTCTGACCAACTGAGCTAACCGGCCAGACCTGACGAATGAATTGAAATGACTGGCCGTAGTGACAGTTAGCACTTGTTTGAGATAAGTAAGAAGAGTTTCTAAGATGTATCAGCTTCTGCTTGCCAAGGAATAAAACCAACCAGTCCTGGACTTCGAATGCGAACAGTTAGAAGGTCCTACCGAGATTTGAACTCGGATCGCAGGATTCAGAGTCCTGAGTGCTAACCATTACACCATAGAACCTGTTTCTTGAGCTGTACATGATGAGCTGTCCAACATGATGACAAACAAGAATCATCTGTGGTGGAGTCCAAACCTGATTTCAAGAATGCAACAAACAAAGACCCCATGAAAGATCGAGGAAAAAGGAGCGAGACCCTGCCTGGAGGAAGCCCAGGGCCCTCGTCTGGAGCCAGGCCCAGACGGCGGGCTCGAAAGCGATTGTCTGGTGGCCGGGTTTGCCACGGAGCCCGGCCGGGCACAGCCCGAACGAGATACGTGGCATCTCTCTCCTCTCCATCCTGTGGGCCAACCACTCACAGGAACAACCGCAGGGGTCGGGTGCGCTGTCATATGGGTGGCAGTGAAGGTGGGGGTCTCGACGGATCAGACCCGGGCGGCAGAAGCTTGCTTTGGGGACGTGGAACGTCACCTCACTGGGGGAAGGAGCCAGAACTTGTGCGTGAGGTGGAGCGATACCAGTTGGATCTGGTGGGACTTACCTCTACGCACAACCGTGGCTCTGGAACCTTACTCCTGGATAGGGGTTGGACTCTGTTCTTCTCTGGAGTTGCCCAGGGTGAGAGGCGGCGGGCTGGTGTGGGGATACTCACGAGCCCACGTCTGAGCACGGTGGTGTTGGAGTTTACCCCGGTGGATGAGAGGTTTGCCTCCCTACGCCTAAGGGTGGTGGGGGAAAACTCTGACTGTTGTTTGTGCTTATGCACCAAACAGCAGTTCGGAGTATTCAGCCTTCTTGGAGACCCTGAAGGGAGTCCTATATATGGCTCCAGTAGGAGCCCCTAGGCCGAAGGTCAATGATCGATTTTGTGATCGTATCGGCTGATCTAAGGCCGCATGTTTTGGACACTCGGGTGAAGAGAGGGGCAGAGCTGTCAACTGATCACCATCTGGTAGTGAGTTGGATCAGAGGGTGGGGAAAGACTTTGGACAGACCAGGTAAGCCCAAACGGGTGGTGCGGGTGAACTGGGAACGTCTGGAGGAGGCCCCTGTCCGAAAGATCTTTAACTCACACCTCCGGCGGAGCTTTTCAGGCATCCCTGTGGAGGTTGGGGGCATTGAACCTGAGTGGGCAATGTTCAAAGCTTCTATTGCTGAAGCTGCGGCGGTGAGCTGTGGTCTCAAGGTCCTAGGTGCCTCAAGGGGTGGTAACCTAGAACACCGTGGTGGACCACGGTGGTCAGGGAAGCTGTCCGACTGAAGAAGGAGGCCTTCAGGGATATGCTAGCCCTGGGGACTCCGGAGGCAGTTGCAGGGTACCGACAGGCCCGAAGGGCTGCAGCCGCTGCCGTGTCAGAGGCAAAGCAGCGGGTGTGGGAGAAGTTTGGAGAAGCTATGGAGAAGGACTTTCGGTCGGCACCAAAATGCTTCTGGAAAACCGTTCGGCACCTCAGAAGGGGAAAACGGGAACCATCCAAGCTGTGTACAGTAAGGATGGGACACTGTTGACCTCAACTGATGATGTGATCGGGCGCTGGAAAGAGCATTTT